CCAGCTGAATATAGTTGGAGAATCGATGCTTCAGTTTGACTTGTAGCTCAAAGGCCAAACTCTTCAGATCGATCAGTTCCAAGACATCTGAGACTCTCTTAAGTTTAACGCAAAGCGATGTCAAGGCGGGTATTAGACAGCCGTAGTACAAATTACTTTCCATGCTCAAAAACTCGATCGTCGTTGCTATGGGTGACATTAGGATGCGATATTCGTCGAGATATTGCAGATCACTCGCCGAGAAACAGGAGTTATGCAAAGCCAGCCGACTGCAAAGCTCGCCAAGTTTATCCTTGTGCGATAGAATGCAGCAAATGCTATCGTATATGGAAAACCAACGATTTCTCGAGGGACACACTAAAGCCTCACCCAAGACTGCGACAATGATCTGAGCCGATCGAGAGCAAAAGCATTTACGCCATAGTGCACTACATTTAGCCATGATCTAGAAGGGAGAGAAAAAGCATGAAAAGAGCTATTATTACATTATTTTTCTTGCTTACCTTCAAGTGTCGTTCCTTTAGGCTCTTATCCCTAGAAAGCAATTCCAGGAAATCAGTAGAAGCTACAATATTCAGCATTTCGCTTGCACATTCTATTCGATTTGGTAAGGCTTCGCAAATCAGTTTCTTTAGGTCCTCGAGACTGGTATGGTCTTCATTATTTAATTCCTTTTTCAAATCGATGCCAAATTCTTGAAAGGACTTCGTGTAATTTCTGTCATTACTTGTGATCGATCCCACAATTTTTAGATTATTAAATTCGTACTCATTGTTAATATTGTTTATCATCTCCAATACCTGAGCATAATCCCCAGAGAAACGCCTGCAGGCCAGGGCAGCTGAGCGCCTCTGAAACTTCTCGTCCAGCCAATGACAACTATAAACGAAATAGTTGTACTCGCTGCTATTTGAGCAGATGGTCGTCGTAATGCAAACGTACTTCTGTCTCTTCAGCAGCTTTTTAATACTATCAGACATTTGCAGGAAGCGCTCATCCAAGCGACTCTTCAGTCTCGCCTTATTCATCACACGTAAATTGGTATTCTTGAAGAGATTGCGGAAACTGGGAGCCTCCACAGTTTCCAGGGGCAGGGCATTATCTATTATATAGCACATGACGCGCTGCTCAAACGAATCGCTCTGCTTCTCTTCCCTTGCGGTCTCTTCTGTGCCGTACTTCGAGCCAATGAAGGCAGCGTGTATCTTCGGATGCCTCACACGCAAATGTTTGATGAAGTTGGAGGTGACTGCGTTGAAACCTCTGATGCGTGTGCCGCACGCGTTGCATTTAGCCATAATTACACCTGGTTTGGCACTCGGCTCCTTTACCTGCCATAGAAATAAATATTAACATAAGATGCTATTTAATATATATATTTATATTCCTCACTTTTTGAATACTGCCAAAATATCGAAAAACTTCTGGCAGCCTCGTTTCCTTTTTATCTTCCATTGCGTTTTGTGGCTTTCTTCTGCCCGATCGCTGTAAGAATTTGGCTTTTCGATTATCCGGTTCCACATCGAAGTCGGACGTAAACTAAAAATTAAATTCAGTTGAAATGGAAATTGAATTAAAATTACTGTTAAACGCTTTGTGACATAAATAATTAAAAGTAATTAAGCAATTAAGTTACGTGGTTTAATTTGATAAAGAGGGCCACCTAAAACATTTGCAATGTTAATATGAATATGTATATATATAATATATATTTAATATTATTAAAATATATACATATTATTAATTTTAAGTATATATGTATATAATTAATATAAATGCATTTATTTTAATTTTTTAAATTTTATTATTAGCTTAAATACTTTTAAAACCACCCTCGTAACTACTTAAGTAATTACAAGTATAGTAATTACTTTTGTTTCTATCCATATTTTCTTTTTAAAGGCAGCGTCAGTTATTAACTAATGTTCAATAATAAAAATGCGATGTCGAAGACATACCTCTGTTTCCTCAGAGCTCGTTTTAGGCTGCTTCTTTGTCATTTTCCACTGGGAAATTCCGTCCTGTTGTTGCTCTGTGCTGTTTTGTGCCTGTTCCCCATTTGATTGCTCCATCGCGAAATGCAGGTCCCCAGCTTCCAGCTTGATGCTGTTTCCATCTTTTACTTGACAGATGTTAAACATTATTGTTAGCAATTATTGTGGTTGACTGACATAGAATTTCCAAGCTCAGCATTTGTATTTGGGCTCGTTTCAAACACATAAACAAAGTACTCTGTAAATAGTAATTAGCTACTGCAGACTCGGGCATGCCAACTCGCTCGAAATTGAAGATATGTATGTGTGTTAATCAGAGTGAATGGCAATGGAAAAAAGAATGCGCGCCAATGTTAGAATTTAAATTGGACAAATTACAAAACAAGTAAGTTCTTGACAAAGTATTAACTTAAAAGTTTATATACGGAAAGTATATAAATTATTGATTATAAATTGCGATGGAAACAATGATGAATTTCTGATAATTACAGTTTTGTAGTTGGGAATAATAACAATAAGAATATAGTATACTAAAATATATTATATTTTCATTTTATACATCTTGCAAATTGCCATATCAATTAAAAAAAAAAAAAAAGTAAATAAACACAACTCTTACAAAATAATAATATAAAAAAAAAATTAAAATAACAAATAAAAACCTTGAACAATATAGTCACAGTTCTTTTTAAAGTCCAGGGTCGTTTCACATATAATATTATACCAACTAAGTAATACTATTTGTATTATTGTTGTACTATTTCTTAAGACATTTCAAAATCTCCAGTTTTTTCAATTCTATTTCCTCCATTCGTTTGAAATGCTGCAACATAGCATTTGTTTGCTCCGCTATTGTGGAACGCATTGCATCGATGCTATCTGCAACGCGAGTCATTAATGCATTTTGAGCTCCACGGAGGTTTTCTAGACCGTCCGTATAATGACTGTCCTCCAGATAATCATCTGAATCGGACGAGTGCTCACGTTTAAATTCAGCGTTATCCTCATTAACATTAATTGTGGGTTCAAATTGGTAAAAGCGTGTTGGGCTTTGTTCCCCTGATTCTACATTCACAATTTCATAGGATTCGCACACTTTGGCTAGACTTTCGTCTTCAGTTCTAGATTGGCAGCTGCTTGCACCGCTTAGAGAATGGCGACGCTCGAAGTTGACATTGGATATGTAGTTCTGATCGCTGGGATAGCGAGAGGAGTTGCGGTAATGAATAATTTCCACATTTTCATCAAATCCACACAGTTGTGCAATTGATTCCTCAGCCGGGCTTAAGGCAACACGTTTATCGTTTTTGATTTGCAAAAGTTTCCTTTTTATGGAAATCTTCCAATCCGACCAAACCTGGAAATGGAAATGGAGACTTGCAAATATATATAAAGTTCTCATTAGATGTAAAAACCTTTTTCCACGAGGAAACATTCTTAAAGGGAGGTCCTACAGCGTTCAGATCATCTGTGAGACTACGCCATTTGCCATCCACGACAAAACGTTCGCCTTTACTGTGTCCTTTGGCAATATCCTGATGTTTGGTCATAAACTCTATTAATATATTGCTCTGTTCTCGATTTTTGTGTGTGCGCCTGTAATACAAAACAGTTTATTAAATAGAATTGTTGAGTCAAAACTTTAACTTGTATTTTATTAGTTTTTTAATTTTTATGGGTTTCAGTATTGCAAATGATCAAAAGAAAAATATGTTTACCTCTTGAATGCATCACGACCATTCATTCTATTACAATTTAAATAAATAAACTGAATGATACAGTTTTAACTTAATTTTGTATTAGTATAGGACCGCCATTTTATTATTCTAAAAAATATATTATTTCTTACAAACTGCTCTTCGTTTTACAGCACTATAAATGCTAAGAAAATTTTGCCGGCTTTCACCTTTAAGATATTTACATATACATATAGCCGGAATCAAACTGATATTTAATTTGAATATAGGAAATACCTTTATATAATATATAGTTCTAATTGGATTCAACAATTGGACAATTTATACGAAGTCAGGGAAAATAAACCACAAAAATTCAAAACGCGGACAAAAAATGCAATTAGCGCTAATCGAATTTAATAAGGGCATTAAGAAAAATACTACACTACAAATAAGCACAAACTAAACCTAAAATATGAATATGCAATTGATTCAAGTTAACTCACTTCTTTGGCAAATTCTGTCGAATGCGTTTCTTTTTGGGCGACATCTCTGTTTCCTCAAAGCTCTCAGAATCCGTGCTCAAGTCTTGCATTATTTCGATGGGTCCACTGTGAATGTCCAGCGCCACTGTTGCCAGTGGATCATCAGTTTGTTCGTCATCCTCAGGCGACAATAGCCCACCGACTTTGGTTAAGCTTGTCATTCTACGACTTATTAACTCTTTTGGCGACTAACGAAATTCAGCTTTGTTTTTACCGCTAAATCGAAAAGTAGAGTACTGCAATTTTTTCGATGTCTGTTTACAGTTCCGATAGGTCAATTCCATTATCGATAACACAGTCAGCTGTTCCTGTAACAGAGGCAGATCAACAAAATGTTTAAATTCAAAATTCAAATATTGCAAATCATCTTTAAAAGAACATAATAAATATAAATCTTTATGACAAAGTTAATAAAACATAATAAATAAGCAAATTTTTTATAAAATTTAAAAACAATTAATTCATATATTTCCTATCAAATTAAAAATGTAGGTATACTTCACTTTAAAAAGAGCACTTAACTACCTGGCAAATATGTTAGTTACTTTGTAGACCATAATCGACCTAAAACTAACTACATCTTGATATATATCCATGGCTGAAATACTTACCACTCAGTTTATAAATCAATACAAATGGAGACAAACATTTTTACAACTTAAACTAACGTACATTTAAATATTTATTAGCCTATGAATGAATGTACATTTCAGTTTCCTATATCCACAGTTAGTCTTTTTTTGTAATTTCAGTTATTACTAATTAAATATATGTCTACTTTGCTCCTGTTTGGCTTTTCTCTGTTGTATCTCGAGCTCCAAGAGTTCAATGCGCAGCTTACGCTCTTTGGCCTCGTCTTCGAGTTTGCTGCGCTTCTCACGCATTTCCAGATCGTGTTTTTCCTGCGCTCGCTCATTTTCGCATCTGCAGAAATTTTGCTGTAGCTGCAGCAGTTTGAGCCTCTCCTCGTCCAGGCTGTTTTTGGGATTGGGAACTTTGTCGGGCAATTTATTTTTGAGAAGTGGAGGCCGAACTGCATTGGCCGTATTACACGTGGCCCACTTGGAACTGGTGCTGGTCAGGTCGTCCTCCGATACGGTTATATCATTAGTCTGAAAGATGTTTCGAGTTAAGAGCACTGTACTGAATTCCATTTCAATCAGCTTACATCCTGATCTCCTGCTACGAAATTATACATCATATCCTCGTCACCCTCAAAACTCTGTTCATTTTCCAGTTGACCTGTTTGAATGAATTCGTTTATTTTATTTGTATTGTTATTGTTAATATATTATATAACTACTCACATCCATCAGTCTCCACGGCTTTCTTCAGGCACAGAGCCGCATCTCCAATCATGGCAACAATTTTTTCCGAAACAGTTGAAACTATGGGCGTAACTGGTTCCTCACCGCCCATGCGCTGGCAGTGTGCTCGCTCCTTGGCCAGCTCCACTTTCGCTCTACGCTTCATATGCAGATATTTGTCTCTCAGTTGCCGCCATTCGCGGTTAACTCCTGTTTTCGCTACAAAACTTTTTGTCAGCTCTGCCCAGACTTCCTCCTTGTGCTTCCACGTAAATGCATCCGATTTCTTGTTGTTCAGGACATCGTTGCGCTCCTCGACAAGCTCCACCAGGGTTAGCTCTTCCTCCGGCGAGAAGTTTTTACCACGTTTTTTAATTTTTTCACTGAATTTTTGAATGAATGAAACTTTTTTCTGAACTCACTAACCTCCTAGAGAGAGAAAAGATTCCCGCTCTATTGATCGACTGCTAATATGCTTAACTTACTTCTTTGGCTCTAGCTGTTCGGATATTCGAATTTTCTTCGGCGGCGTCTCCAGCTCCGGCTCCTCGTTGCTTTCATCGTCTGTGCTCGTGTCTTGTTCGATTTTGATGGGGCCGATTTCCAAATCATTTGCTACTAGCGGATCACTTGTTATCGCCAGCTTCGGAGGAGGTTTTGCTATACTTGTCATTGCCTTAATAATACATGAAAATATTTTTAATTGCGAGCACACAACAACCAAATCATAAATTCAATACTGCAATTTCTCTTTGGCTGTGAGAATTCGATTAGTTTTCGATAGAAAACAGCTGTTTCTGTTCAAATAACAGCAATGCATTTCCAGATGAGCGCAAATGTTAAATATTGCATACTTTTTGAAAATTAGGTTTTAACAAAAGTGTGATAGTTTAATCATATTTGCTTATCCTGTATTTGCATTTTAAAAGAATAATAATTGATAATGTGCCTCAGGTCATTCCGGGGCGGCCGACGACTATCCTAAAGAAGAATAACAATGTAAAACAATTATATGTAATGACTGTTAAATATCAAACT